TGAAGCCAATTTTGTCAATTTATACTTTGTTTATGCTAGCATGAATATAAAAGTGATTGTTTAATTTTTGTTTAGATTTCAAAGTTAGGTTGATTTGTAGTCTCAAAAGTCAAATTTAAAAAGTATAAACTTCTAACTTGTCATTGACTTTTATCACGTGACCAATAAAGTCTAGAGCGTTTGTTCATTACATCTACATTCAAATCTAATTCACTATCACGTGATAAAAAATTCACATCTGAAACGCGGCAATAGAAGACTAATCAAATAGGGTAGTAATATTGGGAACTAATCAAGATACTAACTGCAACTGCCTATCTTAATTTCATACCAAATACTAGGTATAAACCCATTCCCTTGTTATCATTTTGGTTTTTTCATGGCATTAGTAATCTCCAAGATGATAAAATAACGATTAACCCTTAGATTGTAGATTCCCATTTACATTTTTAATACAATTATTATCACATTTATAGATTTTGAACCTTCAGATTATTTTAAAACCTTTCTCTCCGCTTGTCATTAACGTTCACCTTGACATCAAAAATTTCCAAGAAGTCAATGATGAATAACGATTTAAAGAATTCAATACCCATGGATCTGAATACAATAAATGGATAGCTAATAAATACCCTTAAGTTGCGGGGTGCGATTTGCCGGTATCATGTACGGCTGAAGAATAACAGTTCGTCTGCGCAGTTAGATGACAATTTGGCATATGTGACGCTTACGACAGTTATTTGACACTTTTTGCATTAGACAGTTGATTATCGATCAGAGCCGTATTTAAGTCGTATTTGAGAAGTTGAGTTGATTATTATTTCAAGGTGTTCCATATGGAACACTTTGTCTTTACAATGAATCTGGGCACATGAAATCTGACACCTTTATTCTGTTCTTGAAGCATTTTCAACAACATACCCAGTGTTCAGTTGAAAATAAGGTCCTTTTGTTGCTTGACGGACATTCAAGCCACAAGTCTGTCCAAGCTATAGAATATTGTAGAGAATATGGCATTATAATGCTGTCGTTTCCTCCACACTGCACACACGATATGCAGCCTTTGGATGTGGCAGTATTTTCACCTCTAATGGCATATTTTAATGAAAAAGTTATTTTATGGCTTAAAACGAACCCTGGAAAAGTGGTAACGCTGTATAACATTGCTAGCTTGTTTGGGAAAGTATATAGAAGAGCTGCCACACTTAACAACGGACTCAGTGGATATGAGAAAACAGGAATATGGTGCTCCCATCCGTGAACAAAGAACTCCGTCTCCACAAAGAGGTACTTCTTCACTTCCAAGTACGTCTGCCAATAACTTTACCTATAAAGGAAAGACAAATTCGTGATACATCTTCATCAGATGAGTCAGAGGAATGGGAGACAAGTGGACAATAATCTTCAGATGAAGTACCAGTCTTTTTAATAACAATGTAGGGGACTCATCAGAAAATGAAACTTTATGCACTGCAGCGTCAAACCCGGAAGTCGTTGCTTCAAATCATAAAGTTGATAGTATAAGCCTTGCAGTCGGTACTTCAAACCCAAATTCCAAAGTTAAGACTTCTAAACCGAAAGTTGGCAATACAAGGCATGAAATGCCATCTTCGTTGACGGATACCTTAGTAACACCATTTGATATATCTCCACTACCTCAGGCACCTCCTCTGACGAGGAGTTCAAGACCTTCTCAAGGAGCAACTGTTTTTACCTCCACACCAAACTATCTTTTAGTAAAAGAAAGTGTGGATTATATGCAATTTGTGCAAAAAATGGTCTCATTCATTGTGCGCGGGTATATATTGCGATTTTCGCAAATAAAATTTATCCCTTTTACTTTTGCTTGACAAAAAAACTATAGGGGTCATTTTACCCCAGAAGGGTCATTTTACCCTGAGCATGGTTTAAAATGGTCCCTGTAGAGCTTTTTAAGGATTAAATTATTTTTCTGTTGTTTTTATGATTAGGAATCATGTTGTCAGAGAACTATGTTCCGGTATGTTCGTTTTATTGTTTGATTAAACTGTACTTAAATATTCCGTTCTTTTGGAATATTTAGCCTATAAAATTGTTAAAGGGGCCATTTTGCCCTACTCTCCCCTAACTACCATTTACATAACAATTGCAAATAACTCAAAAAACATTTTGTAAAGTACCTACATACCGAAATAATACTCAATAATACATATTCAAAAAAATATATTTTTAAATGATTATTTTATGTACCACGTAAATAATAATATAGGCACCCACACCTGCAATTACCTGATTTTACAGATATATTACTCGATTGTGATTCTACTATAGATAATATTTAAAAATTAAAACGTTAAATAAATTTTTGATTGCAAGTTACCAATGAGTTAATTTTGTAAGTTTCCATAAAGTATGACACATGAAGTTTATATTTTTTCAAGCTTTGAGTGAGGCAGATTCAAACTTGTCGAAAGCTATCAATAAATATTTAACAAACTTGCATTTATATTTGAAAGCTTGCAATACATTTGCAGTGAATGTATTTTGCTTACTGGGAGTTTTATTACAAGATGACAAATTTGCAATAAACTGTTTGGGGTTTGAAAACGATTTGACTCGCAGAGAAGAAAACACATTTATCATTCACGACATGATAGCTCACTGGAATTAACATATGGATGTGGCATCAAAAGAAATTAAATTACAGATAAAATACTAGCAATCTAAACCTACTACGAATCATGTAAATATTGTAAATTAAAGACCATTCTTTAACCACTGAAAGCTCAGTAACTGAATATCTGACTCTAAACAAACTGTTCTAAAGAATCGATTGAATGAGGACATGTATTTGGGATTATTTTTAAAAATAAATAAATTCAAAAGTCCAGTCAGTTTTTTTGTTTTAAATATAAATCTATGTTCTTTTCTAATGTTAACATTTCTCTCTTACTCTCATTGAAAAATGCATTTATAATACATAGTGAGAAGCATCAATATAAACTAACTTATAAAACTTTTACCCTGTTTGAACTTACTTTTAAGGAGTGTTAACAACTTAAACTAAAATTAAATTCCATATTGTAATTATTATATAAATTTTTAATTTTTATCACGTTTCCCCAAACCACCAAGTATGTACCAGATATTGGGAACAACTGACTTAAAAAAACTAAAATAAGTGTATCATTTAAATAAACATAAATAAATACCTATATAAATTACACATTTTAAGTTAAGTAACAAAAACAATTCATTTGTTGTCCGAAATGTCATTTTTAGAAATGTATATGTTCATGTTCGATATCCATCCTTTCAAAAGTAAAAATGAGAGAGCAATATACAGCGTGTCCACCTAATTTAATTCCACAAGAGGAGCAGCATCTTTATTTTTATAGAAAAATTCATTACAATTTTATTTATGACTCTTCTAAGTTCAAAACAACAAAAATAATAAACTAGTAGTTATAGAGACATGAATTAGTAACTGTTTTGTGTTAGATTTTCAATGTTATGAATCCAGTCACATTGAGTACATCTTTAATTTTATGAAAAAAAGGACCGCACAAAACTAAAAATGAAGATTTGTACGTGTACCCTCTTGTGAAGTCGTGGACACAATGTATGCATAAAAAGATAATATTGTCCAAATATATTCAACTTTAAAAAAAGCGCAAAACTAGATTTATACGTATAGAGAGTTTAAACAATCACAAATTTTATACGTTTTGTCATAACTGAAGACACAAGTGGATGAAGGGCCTAAGTAACATTTTTTTTAATTGGTGTTTTTCTGTGAATGAAGGGCTTATGTACCTAAAATTCATTAAAAATGTCTTTCGTGACAATATATCATCAAATACAGAAATATTCATGTACTACGGAATAACTGCCAAACAATAAACTTTAACACGAAATATTCGTAAAAATTATTTTGCTAAATAGGCCCTTCATCCTCTTGTGTCTTCAACTATTCTTTTTTATTACTCCTAATAGAATTCTATGAAGAAAAAATAAAGTATTAAAAATGTCAATGGATTATTTTAAAGTATTGATACAAAAAAGGAAATGAAAGAAATACAAACAGTTAAAATTAAATAAGCAACTTTAGTTATATAAAATACGGATGAAACATTTTCTGTAAACGAAAATAATTAAATACCTATATTAGTTGTTTAGAATCTAGTTAATTTTAACTTTGTATTATTTTGCATTGCCGTTGGTTTGTAAAATTAACAGTTACTAGAGTTGTATGAGATTATAATGAGTATTCTGACAAGTTCCTTTAAATTCAATAATAGTATAAAGAGTAAAATTATGGTAAATAAAAAAAGTATTAATTTGTAATTCACTGGTACCTAATAAATCAATAAGTAAATAAATAAGTACCTAATCATAATATCAGCTCATAAAATTAAGGAAATCTTGTACTTTAGAGGGATTTTAATGCGCGTGTCGACATCACTCTTCACTGACGTCTTGAATTTGAATTTGACACCTGCCATATTTCTATTCTTGTTTTGCCGTTTGTTATTGTCATAACTATCATTTGATGTGGCTGTTTATTGCAGTTTTTATTAGTTAAAATAAAAATGGATGGTAAAGCGCTTTTTTATTGTGCCTCACAATGAAGTTTTAAACCATGTTGTGGTTCAAGAAGAGGCTGTGATAAAATCGTTACTGTCTTATTTTTTATAGTTTATTTTCGGCAGTTTACAACGCCGCGTGTTATGCATGTACCTGCATACTTATTCGTTAATTTGGAAAAACATCAAAATTATCTAAAATCAAAGAATATTTTTATTTCTAAAAATTTTCCTTATCCTTCAAATATTAATACATGAAGCAATACTTCCAGTTGGAGTGGTGTGGACGTGATCCCTCTAAACTACAAGATTACCAAAATTAAATATTGATGTCTTTTCATTCTTAATCTATCCCCAGTAAATTTTCACCATTTCAGCTTTGAATTTTTAAAATTAACAAAAAAAATACTAATTAATAATTTCAATAAAATAACCTTAAAAAGAATCTTGACAGGCTTCAATGACTTTCGGGCAGTATTTTTTAGCAAAATGAACATAAGGCGCACCCGATGTCAAAGGTAGTTTTGTTCTTTCACTATGTTTATTCCAAACGTGTATAGCGAAACTATCTTTCGCTAAATTAAGCACAGCTTGCGTGGAATTTTCATCGAAGTACATCTTCCATTTTTCCCAAGGCACAGGATAAAATTTATTGGGAGGATATGCGGTAAAACCACCACAATCTTTATTCACCATATTCTTTGCTAGTTGTACACCACAAAGAGTTTTAAGTAACCTAAAATTTAGAAATGTGTATAAAATAGGTACCCTAGGAGAAAACGAGGGAATAAGATAACAATTCTTAAAAAAAAATAGTGGACAAAAAGAAATTTAAAAACATCTATACTGTAGCTAGTACAGTTTGCTCTCATATGTAAACAGAAAGAAATAAATCCTAATATACAGGCGTTTTAATAATCTTTGTCCAAAACATTACACCTTAAAGTTGGTATTTATATTAAACACGAATTCATTTAAAAAAACGGGCTATATTTTTAAAAAAATTTAATATGGATTTGATATGTATGTGCTCTTTAATGATTTTTAATTTTTCTCCTAAACTCACAGGTGACAAAAAATATAAGACTGTATCTTACTACCCCAAAAACAATAATGGTGCGGGTTGTAACCTATCTCGCCCAGGTACCTTTTTAATTTATTAAAGAAAAGTTGTATTCTTATTAAATTCAATTATTTTTAAGAAAAATCTTTCAGATAATTAAATGCCCAATATATATAAAATATTTCTGTTCACGGGTCTCTAACATCACTTGTACAAACCAAATAAACATACAAGTATTAGAAATTAAAAATTAAAAAAATCCGACTTCAAAAACGTGCAGATGCCATCACCACATCTTAACCAAATTTATATGGGACCACCCCTGAGGTACCCCCTTACTAATAAAAAAATAATCATATATATCGGACAAGGTGGTAAAGCATTATCGCTAAACATACATAAAAAATGAAGAGTTTGAGGATTTTCTCATGGACTCGATTATTAGATTTTGACCAAATTTATATGGGACCATCACTGAAGTACCCCCTTTCTAACAAAAATTATTGAAATCGGACACCGTGTTAAAGAATTATCGCTGAATATACATAAAAAAAAATATTGCGACGAATTGAGAACCTCCTTCTTTTTTGAAGTCGGTTAAAAAGATAAAAAGTTATCCCATGAGAATTCGAAAACCTCCATAAAACATATTTCTTTTCACGAAGTAATAATCATTAACACCGATTTCGACATGATTTCGACACAAAATTACATTTACAAAATATTATTAATGTAAACGAATAAACCACATGGCATTCGGGCATTCATATTTTTCGATGAGTGAATTTGGGTCCTATCAATAGAAATTATAAATATCAATATTTTAGAAGTATACAGGGACGTATTATCTTGGAAAAATTATTAACATCAACACAGTAAGTTAACCAACTGGCGAATTGGCGCTGTTCCTTAACCCTTTTAGCCAAACTTTTTTTATTTTCAATATTACATATATAAAGCTCGAAACAGACCGTTAAGGTCTATGGCCTGGTTAGTTTCTTCCATTCGTCCCTTTCTTGGCTTTTTCTTTCCAGTTGATGGTCTTTTTTTCCTTAATATCTTCTATAATCGATTCCCTCCATTTCCTTTTAGGCCTTCCTTCCGCTGTTGTCCAAGCTACTCTTTTTACTGCCCTTGAGTCCTCCATCCTTTCTAAGGGCCCCAACTATTGTAACCTTTTGACTGTATTATTTCGTATATGTTGGGTTCGTTAAATATTTCGTAAATCTCTTTGTTTGTTCGTCTTTCCCATCTTTCTTCTGTCTTTTTGCCCCCATATATTCTTCTTAGTATCTTTCGTTCCCATATTTCAATTATTATCTATTATCTATTGCTTTCTGCTAGACGAAGATCTATTTCAGCTTGTTATTCGAATCTATTTGTAATGAGAACACCAAGGTACATGGAACTGTCTGTTTCGTCTATTGTTATTTTTCCTATGGTTTTAGTTTTTAATTCTAGCTTTTCAGGATTTTTTCTTAAATGTTTGTTTTTCAGTTGCATGTGCTGACTTTTTTTTTTTTCATTTATTTTTAGACCCCCCATTGTTCCTGCCGCGTCTAATAACTGTTCTGTTATGTTTTTAAGTTCTTTTTGGCTTCTCGCTAACAGTACATCATCTGCGTATGTTAATGCTTGGTGGGAGCTATTGATCAGGGTTCCGTATCTGTTTATTCCACTGTTTCTGATGACTATTTCAAGGGTTAAATTAAAAAGGAGGGTAGATAATGGGTCTCCCTGCCTAAGCCCGTTTTGGACTTCAAATTCTTCGGTTTCCTCACCTCCTACTCTTAATGCTCTTGTATTTTCCAGGGTCATGTTCGTCAGTTTTACAAGTTTAAGAGATATTTTTAGTTCTTTCAAAGCATTTACCAATTTTCGTCGATTTACTGTATCATATGCGCTTTTAAAATCAATAAACATAATGTGTCGGTATTTCGTATTCGTAGCAACATGTTAGTACCTGTTTTAAAATAAAGAATTGGTCAGTTGTTGAACTGCTTTTTCTAAAGCCACATTGGTATTCTCCGATAATTTTTTCTCCTTCTACTTCTATTCTTCTTTTTATTAACGTGGCTAGGACCTTATATGTAACATCCAGCAAAGCTATACCTCGATAGTTTCCACAGACTGCTGGGCACAATATATCCCCTATAGTAATGTTACTGGGATTCAAGAAATGGCTTTGAGTTACGCTGCGGCCAGACACAGGTCTCATGGCGCTAGTATCGTTATTGATTTTTGACATCGACACGTTCATTGGTTGACGACGAATTCAAAACAATCTGATCGGAGCGTTACTCACTCCCACTCCTTCTCTTTGTTTAGATACTTATAAAAGAAAGAGATACCAGTTAATAATTCTTATTTCGAATCATCTTTCATTCTTTTTTTTTTTTTAATTTATTGGCCTACATAGCTAAGATGATACAGCCATTTGGTAACAACAGGTAAATAATTACAATATTTTACAGCTTAATTTTAGACATTTGTATAAATTTTGATATTTTTTTAACATTACCGAAAGACAGAAGTTTAAACAATACATCAAAAAGTGTAACAGGTTTTATAAAATTTTTTGGAATATCTAAACTATCTAAAAATTTATAAATATTATAAAAATTATTTTGACAATTAAAAAAAAATATGTTGTAAATCCTCCAGTTTTCCACACGTACACCTATCATTTTCTTTTACACCTATTTTCTTTAGATGCACCATACTTAAACAATGACCGCTTCTTAATCTGCATACGGTACTTATATCCCTTCTATTCAAATTTTTTATTTTTGCAAACCACGGTCTCTTTAATGGAATTTGAATTACTTCTCCATACAGTTTCCCTTTAACTTGGCATATCACTTTATATTCCTCCTCCCATTTTTTCCATGTATTGGATTTAAAAAAAGGCAAGAGTTCACTATGATGCACCCTGGCATTAATATTTAATATTTGCAGTCGGCCTTTTTTGGCCAGTTCATCTACTTCCTCATTTCCAGTTATTCCGCAGTGACTAGGAATCCATGCTAGACAAATATCTATCCCCAAACTCTTTGCATTAAATAAACTATGTTTTATTTCTAATGTTAAATAGTCCATTTTACTCGATATGCAATTACTGGATATTTTTGGGAGAGCACTTTTAGAGTCGCTGAAAATAACTGCCTTCCTAATATTCTCAGTTATAATAAATATGACCGCTTCTTTAATTGCATATATTTCGGCCGAACAGATTGAAAAGAAATTTGGAAGTCGAAAAGATTTGGCAATTAAATTTGTAGAAAAGATACCAGCGCCAGTTTAGCGTTGAGTTTTTATAAGTGAAGCGTGAAGTGTCAGTGTTGACAAGTGATAATTTTTTGATTTTTTCTTCTACGAAATTTAATATTAATTTTGTTTCAGCGATATTTATTGTGATTTGTGTTGTTGTATTAAGTGCTTTCTTATTTAATATGGGAAACAAAACGTACAACAAACTCAGAAAAAGAGGAATCAAGGAGGGATTGCTATCTATGGCTGTCATCCAAGGGTCTGCGCCCTAGATAATACTTTTCCAGTGGGAAAAGCCTTTAATATTCAAGTATAACAATTTTATGTTTCCGTTTTCCCTTCTTTTAATGTAGATGCCAATTTTGAGGTAAGTTTGTAATAATTTTTCATATTTTTTCAGTTAATACCTACCCTCTTCATATTATAATTTAACTATGATCTTATGCTTTCCTATGGACACGATTCAAGGAGGGAGTCCTATGGCTGTCATCCAAGCCCTAGATAATAGTTTTCCAGTGGCAACAGCCTTTAAAATTCAAGTATAATAATTTACTTTTTTCGAAGTAGATGTCCATTTAAACTAAATTTTTTTATTTCACTTATTGATTTTAGCATTTATATACAGTATCGGCTAATGAACACTTTCCAATACGCTTGGCTAGAATCGAAAAGAAAACTAAAGAGTTAGCGCATTAGTTCGATCAGGAAACGAATAATATGAATGTTGCCTTATGTGCTGTGTAATATGAACAGGCACACGGTGTGATGCATCCCCACGTAGCCGGCCGGCTACGTTCATAGTATTCTATTCCTTCTCCCACTAATGCTAACTCTTTGTAGTTTTTACTTGGACATAAGCAAAACGTATTGTACAACATTCGATAGCTGTCACTGTATTATCACAAACATCTCTTAATAACTAAATGATTTCATTTAATAGTTTCTTTTTTTTTTTCAGTAATATGGATATGGCTAGAGTTATCTTCGTCTTTAAAATATATTAAATAAGTTTTATAATTTTTCAAATAAAATACTTTATAAAATTTTTTGTTTTTTTTACCAGAGCAAATTTTTTTTCAGATCTAACCTCTATAGGTAAAAAATAAATGATTTAGGTAAAATTGAAAAGTATATTACATGTTCTTTTAAATGTGTTGTTAATCCAAATGCTACTCTTATTGTAATAGCTAATAATAAAAGAATTAGTATTATTTTTAGCTATCAAAATAAAAATAGCGCCTGGATTTACAGCTCGTTTAATCGAACATGCAATATACTTCTCAATAATTATTGCCGAATGAATATATTTAAAAATTCCCGGCATTCCGCGGCTGAAAATTTACAATTTTGGCGGGAAATTTAAATTTCACCTTTAAATTATATTTGAATTTACCGCCATATCGAGTTAGTTGAGCGGCCAGACAAAGACGCATTCTTGCGCTGCAAACTTAGTGCCAACTCTTTAACAAGTGAGATGCACTACTATAGGGGATATATTGTGCTGCTGGGTACCCTTTTTTATATTGGCAGTATTACTGTTTTCCTCCAATTTAGTGGCATTTCTTCCGCTTTCTATATTTCTTTGATTAGTTGTATTATTTGTATTATTAGTTGTCCTTCATATTTTAGGTTCTCTGCGGTAATTTTGTTTGATCCGGGGCTTTTATTATTCTTCATATTTGAAATAATTTCTATTATCTCTTCTTCTGTGGGTTCCTCAGCGGTGTACATAGGGTTTTCATTTGTTTCTTCTTCCTCTTCTGCTGCTTCTTCTTCTACTTTCTGCCGTTCAGGTTCATCGTTCAGTAGTTTTTGGAATTATTGTTTCCATCTTTGCATTTGCTCGCTTTTTCCTCCTATTAAATTTCCCTCCTTATCCTTGATGTAAATATTTTTTGGCAAGTGTTTTTATTTTCATAATATGAGTATCTAAACTATTGACCTCACTCTGTGTTGCCGTTTTGTACGGTTTTATTTGCTTATAGTATAATAAAATATGTTTTTTTCCCTGTAGTTCGTTGCCTTGATCATCATGTTTTGTGTTTCTTACTGCACCGTTATTTATTTTCTGTTCATTTCCTTGTCCATTTCCGTCATAGTTTTCTTTAATCTCATCTTTATTTATTGGTTTTTTTGTGTTAGATCGTATTATTTTCTTTACTTGTTCATCAAATCTGTTTTGCTCCGGTGATCTTTCGTTTACAGTTCTCTTTTGACTGCTGCCTCCATCGCCTCCTTTTTTTCCTTCCTCGTTTTGATCGGTATCTTCCTCCCTGTACAACTCGTCGTTTATTATTAATTTATTATATCTTAATTGTGCTTTATGACTTTTATTTCTAGCTTCTTTCATTTTTATTATTAGCTTCCTCCATTCCTCTTGGATTTCCTTTGGGTAGTCTTCATCAATCCATATATTTGTGCTCTTCAGGCTTCTGGTTTTCTGCAAAATTATTGTTCTTGTGCTTTCCCTGTTTAGTTTCACAATTATTGGTCTTTTCCTTTCAATGTTGTACTTGCCCATCCTTCGTACTTCATCTATATCTTCTTTTACTGGGATTTTTACTCCCATCTCTTGTAAAATTATGCATATTTTATCCTTTGGTTCTTTCTCATTTTCCTGTTCTTCATCTTCATTCCTTTTATGATAATAATCTTTTTCCTTATTTCCCTCTCTAGATTGCTTATTCTTTCTTCCTGATATGTCACTTTTTATTTTAGTTTTCCTCTCGCATATGCTTGTTGTCTACTACTACCATATCTAATTTTCCATTAATTTCCTTCATATTTTCTTCTATCAGTCTATGTCACTCATCTTGGTGCCTGCTGTTGATTGCGCAAAAAGATATACCCCAGCCTTCCCATCGGAAGTACACCTTTTATCAATCTTCAGCTTTTGTGTAATTTCATGCTCTTTTTTTTTTAAATCTGGCAAAACCGCTTTACAATCTAGGGCAGCTTTGTTCTTAGCGACTGCCTTTTCGTTTGGATTTGACCTTTGAAATCACTAACACTTATTGTTTATATTGCTCTTTATAGCTATTTCTGTGTTTTTTAATCCGATTTTTCACTTAACGTTGGGTTAAACACTCTAACTTCACTGTGTTTTGCTTAAATGTAATTAATTTTCTCTGTATCGCCCAATTTTTGAGTTAGATGCAGGAGAAAAATCAAATACGTATTTACAACTTAACACAACGTTGCCTGTCTCAATATTACAAGATTTAAAAAAAAAAAAAAATGATTAATATGTTGAAGAAATATATTTTTCAGAATACGTAGTTCCAAAAATTTTTATTTTTGACATTGACAAGTGGGACGTATATGTCCCACTGGTTGACATGTTGGATTACAAAATCTAGAAATGGTAATTTTTATCTGTGAAGTTCATAATATTATTCAGACATTGACTGTGGCAACCATTAGTAACCTAAAAAAAACTTTTTTCCACCATTTACCGGACTGGCGGTCCATATCATATAAGCCTGACATTTGGTCAGCTAAATTCACTCCACCCATAAAATTATTATAAAATTCTATTACTTATGGACATTCTATATCTTTTCGTATGCCATCTTTGCCTCTTCGTTGAACAACAGTCAAGTTTTTTCCGTGGCAGTTGCTAAGCACTGTAACTTCTTTGGTGTCTTACCAGTTAACACAAATGGTACCATGCTTACTTATTTCCAAGAATTTCGGACTATCCCCTGGTTATTTTTTTTGTAATCTTTGTTATATTTTTTTCTATTTACCATAACAGTTCTAACTGGTAACATCGCTTTAGTCCAGAACGGCCTTTAAATTTTACCACACTTTCATCAATACTTCGCCTGGAACAATCTGCTCGACATTTTTGGAATGTTGACTTTAGACAGTTCACTACTTCATCCACATAATATGTTTTAGAGGTACCCTGCTTTTCTGGATCATTTACGTATAATTTAGATAGTAACAATGTAAATCTTTTTCTAGAAATACTATTTTTTATTAGTGTATTTCCTACTGAAGGATGTGTAGACCAATAATGTCTATGACCTTGCAATCTGTTATAACTGATTACTAGGGCAGATTCTAAAACAATTGCAATTTCACATATATCGGTTTTGGTAATACGATTCTTTTTCTGTTTTTTTAATATTGTCAGCCTTTTATTTGTACATTCAGAAATAAAGATGAATAAATTTGGAGGAAACAATTTTTTGAACACTTAAAATCGTGTCAAAGATCTTGTAAATCCTTTGTCTAACTCGCACGTATTTTTTTGCAGGAATGCTGAACCTTGGTAGAAAGTCATCAGAGAGGCTTGACCACACAATGGCTTCATCTTGATTTTTATTTTCTTGTATTTCTTGATTTTGTTCTTCATTTTCTGTGCGATCATCGTTTGTACATTCCCTTTCACTATCCGAAGATTCTCTTTCACTATCTAAAGATTCTCAGTCATCTTCATTTATTTCCCCATCCTCACCTGATTTGGAAGATTCTGTTTCGGTTTCATAATCTTTGTCTCTATCATCATCTGCATCTTCAGAAACAATTGCCCAATAATTTAATTATTTTTCTGATAATGCTCCCTTCGACATACTGTAACAAAAAACCACTGGGTTTTATACGTTTTTTACTTGGTTTCTGAAATAAATGTTACGAATAAATATTATGTTTATAACAAATTTGTGTTTAAATTTAATTACCTGTTACAAACAACGCAAAAGCTTCAAATACGTCTAGCACGCTTGTAAGCAAGTGAACAAATGACCGGTGAACAACAAGCCACGTTGCCAGAACTTCTCTATTTTCAAGAATATGCTTGAAGAATACCATTAATCAAATAACACATTAAATTTGGGTCATATTTATACCAAATAGAAATTTTAAATTCCCGTCGGGACATATATAGCCCAAGGGGGTCGAAACGGTTAAGTCAGTTAGTCATCGCATACTCGTCGAAATATAAACCTAAGAAAATACAATCCTATGTATATCTAGGATAGAATCAAACTAAATAAAACATAAAAACTAACACAGTAAGTTAACCAACTAGTGAATTGGCGCTGTTCGTTAACTCCGTTGGTCATCAAATTAAATAAAATATATCTTGATAGCAAATGAAGGTGGTCCGCGTTTGAGCGGGGCTCAAGTGAGATTTCCGTAAAAAGTACCTATTTTATGCATAGTACTACGTTACATTTAAAGCATGAAAAATAAAAAGATTTTAATATAAATTTTGTATGGTTTTATTTGCCAATTTGTACCAAACTTTGCATAGAATCTTGGTTTATTTTAATTAACATTATCACAACGTGAGTATATAAATTATAAATTAATTAACTAGACGATCACTACTACTACTACTACTACTACTACTACTACTACTACTACTACTACTACTACTACTACTACTACTAGAGGAAAAAGGCCAGATACAGTAAATATAGAATTTAAAGTAAAACAAAATTGAGAGGTAAACAATACAATTTTAGATTTAAACAAAAATCAAAGGGGTATGGGGTGGATGGTTACAGGGTATTAAAAAACATACTATATTTTCTTATCCTTATTTCAGATATATACCTTGTCAGCTGAGGGAGCTTACTAATAATTAGTGTTATGAAACAAAGCTGTCACGAATCATAAAAAAAGATTTAAATCAAAGATACTATACCTTTTACTAAATAATTTAAATCAAAAATACTTTTCAGTACAAAAAAGTATTTAAATTATAAATATTTTTAAGATTTAAATAGTATTTTGCCATTTTGGACTTAAGTTAGTAGTCATAAAAAATCAATTTAAGTCTTTTATAAAAAACAATTTCGATAAAAATTAAGCTCATTCAATAAACTGAATTACTATGATGTAATAATTCACAATTTCAAAAATAGGTTCTAATTATAAAGTTATTCTCCCCATGCTACGTTAATAAGCTTTACTGATTCTGTGGAATTCACATACCCATATAGTTTTAGAATCAGGAGCTTGGAGTTTTATATCAGAAAAATTCATTCAATATACAAGAAAACACAAATTGCCGAATAAACAAAATTTATTTGAAACCAACATAAAAACGCTTTTTAAGAAAATCAAAAATACTTTCTAAAAAGATTTAAATAATAAATCAAAAATCATTAGAGGAAAAAATATTTCAAATTAAAAGATTTATCAGAAAAAGGAGTTAAATCACAAAAATGATTTAAATCTTCCTTTGTGTGACAGCTGTTATGAAATAAAACTTTTATATCTTGATAAAATAAGTATTAATTACATCAAAATCAAATATTTGAATTAAATCTAAATTATAGTTCTAGATCATAAAATTAGTGCGGACATGTGAAAAAATTATTATAATACAGCGAACTCCTTACCTCGTTATCACACCAGGGCCGTTATTCCCCCAATCGTGGCCATTAAAATTATGTTTAAGATCATTTACACATTTTTCAGCCATTTCATGGCCTTTGCCGGTTGCATCAAAACTCAAAACTCCTGCAGCAACATTCTTATTTGATTCAATTCCAGCATAATTCGGTGCCAAATCCTCCAATGATTTGGTCACTATTACATCTAAGTCTAAATATATGCCGCCAAATTTCCATAGGGTAAGGTATCTAAAAACAATTGTTTCAAGTTATGTAATCTTTCCAGGCTCAGAAGGAATGTGACACTACAGCAATTATAATAAAACATTTTGATAAGACAGTACACCAGTGCACCAATAATTGACTCTATTACTTTATTATGTTGAATTTTATTTAAAACGGTATTCTTTATAGGAAAATTATCCAAATTAGGCGATGACTGAGTTCCATCAAAAAAAGGGCTCTTATGGCAATGATATAAATTACCTAACTTCAAACAGATCTTAGATTGCAGTTGCCAGCTAAGAAAATCATTGTACCTGAAGGTATTTCACAAGTATGATAATTTTATTATATATTTTATTTGAGCATGGATAATTTTTTGACAGTAGTACAATTTTGTATGAATAAATGTTTTATTTTGTAGGTTGTCCCTAATGAATTTGAAGTTATAGAAATATGTCCTATCTATAACTGCTAGAGGTACTGATAAACAATGTCAGACTGATATAGCTGTGGGGATTTTACTCGAATGATGGTGTCACATGCATCTACAAAAAAATGGAAGCTAAACTTACATTACAGTTTTTTAAAAGACGATATAAAAAATAAATATTGCATTGGCCTAAATTAATTCAAGAAACTAAATAGTTCTGTCTATGTTAGGTATGTATCTATGTCATGAAGATTTGATTATTTACTGATATTAGTAACTGAGACGTAAACTGAACTATGTTGTACTATTTATAGAGGCATGTTGGATGTATATGACACTATGTCAAAAATATTATTATCAGAACATGAAAATATGTTACAAAAACTAACAATTCATTTATATTAAAAAAAGTTTTAAGATAGGCGATTACAATTTTGTGAAATTATAACTTAACGGGCAATAAATGATTTCAACAATTTCTTTTCAAAGTGTGTTGAAAATGGTACGGTAAATCATCACAACTGTCTTTATTGTCCAATTTAAATCCCAGAATATTTCATGAAGTGCATACGCAACATTCGGAAAAACTAAATGTTTGGGCTGGTATTTTTGGTAACCGTATAATTAGCCTTTTTTACCTGGAACTTCAGCATCATAAATGTATCTGGAATTATTAGAAAACGCCATTTATCCAGCATTACTAAAGTTTATTGAGAATGACGATCAGTACATAGCAAACAACTTAATATTCCAGCAAGACGGTGCGCCATCCCATTTTACACTGACTGTTCGTCAGTATTTGGATCAAACGTTTCCAGGTCAATAGATCGGAAGAAGAGGAAGAATTGAGTGGCCCTCCACGGTCTCCGGATCTAACCCTGTTAGATGTTTTTATAGGGACACTTAAAAACTAAAATGTATGCTGTATGTCATCAAATTACCCCCACAGATGCTTCAAAATATCCGAGAGCGTTTTGAACAAAACCTTTATTATTGCATGAACGTCCAGGGTCAGCATTTCCAGCATTTATTCGAGTAACTGGTAAGCATTTAAAGAAAATAAAAATCGTTAAAAGATCATGGCTAGGAAGACAGTAGCGATTGAAAACTCGGGGGTTATAATCTAGGTAATACCTTCAAAATAAGATATCATTCAAACCCTCTTTCCATTTAAGATTTTAGGGGTAAGTTTCACCCCCGCTAGGGACCTTCCGTTAAGGGAGTGAAACTGTCAAACAAAAATGTCCACCTAAAATCAAACTTTGACCGGTCCGGGCGTTTTTTCGTAAATGACCTGGGGTGACCAAAATTGGCTCTGTTTCGTTTTCAAATGGTCACCCTGCATATATAAAATACTCCATTATATGTGTCTTAATAAATCATCAAAAATTTCCTTCTAAATTCATGATAGTTAATAAATATTTTATATGTATTGTATTTCTACTTATTTCATTGCTACTCCAGCACCGCCACACCACTGAATACCAATGGTGGCTGCTATGAGCATATAGGGTTGTCCGATTAAGGTGGGAGTCTCTACCTCAAAACTCCAGCAATTCGACATTTGACAATAACTTTTTTTCCAAGAAAATTTTCATAAAATCAACGCTTTAAAATGGCTTTTAACGTGATTTTAAGAAACGGGTGATGACCTTAAGTGGGGTGTGGAGGGAGGAAGCCCACATTTCCCGCATAGAGGCTACGCACCCAAAGCAATTTTTGAGTTCCGGCGCCTATGTTTATGTACCCCGTAAATAATGATATAGGCACCCACACATGAAATTTCCTGATCTGACAGATTTATTACTCCGTGTCCATTGCGATTCTAAATAATATTTTTTACGCAAAAATCAATGTCAAGCTTTCTACATAATCTTATATAAATTTAAAAATAATCTCAAAATATGAAGAAAAGTCAGCTGACTGTAACTAATAATGTTTATAAATGGTTTTTAACGTATTATAAACAAAACAAATATTACAATAACTAAAATATTTATTTATTCATTAATAGTTGTAGTGTTTGCAAACAATATAGTATTGATGATGATAATAATAATAACTACACTTAATACAAACCCAAATAAAAAACAGCGATATTGGCGCTTGTACAAAGTTTTGAACCGAACTTACAAATGATAAAATTATTTGAAAATAATGAACACCCTTTTTAAATTACCACAAGCCACCACTGTCTTTAAGATGTACCAAAACATGGATTTCTCAGTGTGTAAATAAGGAAATACATTTTTATTAATATTTGATATACTGGGTTTTGCAAAAAAACATTTTCAAAATGTTTAAAGTAGATAAAGAAAGATGGAAGAGTATTCTGTTTTTTCAGCTTGAAATTGATATGGAAAACTATATGGAATAGTAGATGATGGGTAGAAACGTAAGGCCAAGAAAGAGTGTTTTACCTCATATTTTTAAGTGATAGCAGTCAGGTTTCGAGTCTATCAAAACTGAAAGAGGTGCTGTAGCGAAAAGATGTTACATTGAAATCCTACAAAATATAGTCATCAAATCTCTCACACACTTTAAAATCAGTGGTGTGGGTTGATTGTAGTAGTGGTAGTGGTGCTATTGAAGACGATCTACTCTTGTTCCTAACAATCATATAAGAAATAAAAAAATTTAAGTGAGAAGAAAATACTTCTCTCGATCTAAACAAGTCGAAATTGATAATACCACAAACAAATCAAATGTGTCATGTTCTCCAATAAAAAGAGCAGTATCACATGTAAGTACTTCTCCTAGCAAATTTAAACAGATACATAGTTTAGAAAATATTGAATCAATTTGCTCTTCCGAAAATTCTACTTTTTTAAGAACATAATAATTTTTTCTTTGTAGCTCATAGTTTGTCCAATTCATTGGTGATGTAGTTTATGTTATAATAATTTAGTTTTTCCTGACATAAGTATTATATATAAAAAAAAGTAATTTGAAGCACAAGTCACTGACACTTGATTTTTCACGTTCCAGTAATCGACATAAACTGATTAAAACATTTTTTATTATGCTTAAAATTACACTAAATAAAAATGAACGCTAAATTGACAAGTGAGTCGGTGTATATTTTATTGTAGATGCCATAACTGTAACAAAAAACGGGTGCCAGTTATTGACACTTCTTGTTCCAATAATTGACAATAATATTGTCAATTATTATATTATGTCAATGACTATATTTTTTAAAAGCTTGATTACAGATTTTTCGACAGTATAATAACACTGTGTATCAGTATTTGCTTGTGGGCCATTAATTGACAGAGTTCTTAATAACTGAAAAATTATTTATTGACACTAATAAAAATGAGGATGTAGGATTTACAAGTATAAAACCAATAAAAACCTATTAGTGTTGTTTAATACACACCCAGAAATAGTTTAAATATATTTGACACGAAGCAACAAGAAATATGGATATTCATGTGTCACTGAATTTACTCATGAATTTTCTTAAAACAAACACTAATTTCGCCATTTTCGAACTGACTAGAGAGTCACCTACCATCCGTTAAGTAGGCTACACCATCACTTAATATTCTAATATTATGAATGTTTCAGAAAAATTTCTCATATCGAGTTTCATGTTCTTATTTTTTAAGAACAATTGAAGGAGAGGGTGGGTGGCTCAGTTGACTGGGACTTTTCCCAATTAATTAATTAAAAATTAATTCCAATGCACAATATATAGTATTCCCCACTCAACCATTCACTGTTGGGTTCTAATTAACAGTGCTTTTCCTAAAGTGGGATGGAAAACAATAACATAGTTTTTTCAGAACACTCATTAATACAAAAAACAAATCAAACTGAGACGGGCTAATTGGGTAGATACTACCAAAGCCATAACACGAAATAATAAAAAAAAACAACTGAAGGGGTTCAATTACTGGAACACTGTCAATTATTGGTAGACTTACCCTAAATGTGAATCTGTATATATCTCAAAACAGGTCTATTCTCAAACGGTGACATATTTTAATGCAGGTATGAAATTTTCATTGCCTGTTCAAACTTGTAATTTCTAATTCTCAAATGACAGGTACATACAACATTTTGGTCTATGTGATTGCAAAATATGATATTTACGTTATTGGATTATGATATACCCTGAGGTATTCTTTTAAATATAATTAAGATAAATATGGTGGTGGAGGTAATTGTTAGTTACAATTGAAAATCTCGAAGATGAGTTTAATCAACAGAAGAGTTAACATATTTAAAAATGTAAAGGAGAGGAGTGACTAATTTTATCTGCTTTTGTCTACAATATTTTTTCTATTTTTACTTCCCCCTATAAAAGGGTATTGTATTGTAATTATAAAAACGTCACCTTCCGAGATTATTTCAGATTTTCACGTTTCAGGGTTCCTAGATTATGGAAAACATGTTTCCCCATTCCGTCGGTCTGTCTGTTGGCGCGATAACTCAAAAATGGCCTTATAGAAAAACTTCAAATTTTGTATGCAGATAGGGTTCCTTTCTGGCTGAAACCCAGTTATACTTCCGATCAGTTATATACAAGGTGAGCAGTTTTTAAAATAAAAATTATTTTTAAAAGTTGGCAGATTTCGACTAAAAT